ATATATATATATATATATATATATATATATATATATATATATATATATATATATATACACACACAGGGTGTTGAAAAAAAGGGTCACATATTTTGATAGCAGATAGTATTGATCAAAACAAGAATAAAAGGTCTAATTAACATAGGTCCTAAAACTAATATCTTCTAAGATACAAGCTATTTTGTTATTTGAGCTCTTTGCCATTTTCTTGTGTCATCTTTAGAATGTAATGAACAAAGGAGTAGGGGAGAATGGGGTACAATGGGGATATCTTTTTTCTAGGTGCCTTAAAAAATTAAAAATTAAACACTCTTTTGTTTACTAGGGCTGCTCACATTCGTTAAGGCCTACGCAATGTCGTTTGACTTGTAGTATATATTGCGAACTAAACGTAAATATCAGGAGAGAGAAATGAAGTTAGAGTGCGTGATTCTCTAAGACGTAGGGCTGAAACATGCGTGAGAGTGAATGGCAATCACATAGAGCACCTCCTCTAATGCTGAGTCAGCATTAAAATTTTTTGTTTTTTGTAAAAAAAGAGTTTTTATTTTGTTATCATACATTCAGTTTCTTTACTTCAGTTTTTTTATGGAAGATAAATGATTACATTTCATATTAAAATAAAAATTGTTTCTTTATCTCTCTTTGTTAATTTTTTTATTTTTTAAGGCACCTAGAAAAAAGATATTCCCATTGTACCCCACTCTCCCCTATTCCTTTGTTCATTACATTCTAAAGATGTCACGACTAATAAGAAAATGACAAAGAGCTCAAATAACTAATATCTTAGAAGATATTAGTCTTAGGGCCCATGTTAATTACAACTTTTCTTCTTGTTTTGATCAATACTACCTGCTATCAAAATATGTGACCCTTTTTTTCAACACCCTATATATATATATATATATATATATATATATATATATATATATATATATATATATAATCGTCTTATTTAATCATTAATTCCAAAACTTGCATGATTATTTGTAAAATGTTACACAACTTTTTGCTCACTATAATGTAATATACAATTATATTACGAGATCTACACTTAGCGTCAAATATTCTCGAATATTGGTATTATCTATAGCCCAATACTGGGTCTGTACCGAAGCTAGAGTTTGGCCTGTCTTGCAGCCTTTACTGAGTCCAGATCTGTATTTTATGATAGCTCGTTGAATGGCCAGATTATCAACCGGTATCGGGACAAAATTGGTTGTCGACTCTTGGCCGCCGATACTGGACCAATGTTTGGCCAGTTTGGCTTGGCAATTTCTACGTGGGATGTACCTTTTATCGTTTAAATCGAACTGAAAATCAATACCCAGCAAACACAATAATGTGACATATATGTCTTAAATACATAACAGTAAAGATCACGAAGTAACCAGTTACGTAGCAAATACCATACATGTATGTTACATGTATCACTAAATGTCAGCAACAAAAGTACTTCTATGATCTAGTTAAGATATATAACGCAATGTTTTAAATGTTTTATCTATAATAATATGAAATATATAATATCTATAATAATATGAAACAAAGCCATAGTACATTCGGAAATATCGCAGTAAACATCAAGTATTAATAACATCGCACACAGCATCAACATATTTCAGAAAACTTTCAAAATCTTTAAACGAAATACAAAACATTTTAAAGAAATATTTCAGACATATTTTAGATATCTTTCAGATGCATAAAATGTCCGCTTATGATGTATTATCTGAAATATATCTGAAATATTACTGATATGTTTCAAAAATATATGGGAAATATTTCAGATACTTTTTTTTATATACAGAAACTCTTCGTATTTGTACATTTAGAAACTGTTCATAAATGTCACAGTGTTTCTTAAATTTTACTTGAAAATCTTAAGATTACTTGATTCCAATGTTACATCACATTTAAAAATTATCACTGCCCTTATAGAAATTTAATACTGATAAGTGATAAATTTGGCCAGTCACAATTACTGTCGTTTAGTAATTTTATTACTCGTTCGAATAATAAAATTACTATTTATTACTGGTCAATTTATCACAGCCAGTAATACTTCTCTATAAGGGTAGCACTGGTGGGATTCGAACTTGGAACCTGAGGCACCTCTAGATTATGAGTCTGTTGCTTTAAGGAGCGTCTACATTGGAAGTAAACAGTAAGAAGTAGGAAGTAAGAGTAAGAAATTACATTCGACCAACAGTCGAATGTGAGAAGAATAATCAACTATGATTGGTCAATTTTTTACTCTTACTTCCTACTTCTTACTGCTTACTTCCAATGTAGACGCTCCTTTAGACATTACACCACTTCTTTGATCGATATAAATGTCTTACATTTTGTCTATATCCATACAGAACAAATATCCAAAATATATCTCATGGATATTCTATAGATACCGCGATATCTACAGGATATCCGTGAGATTTATTTTGGATTTTGTTCTGTATAGATATGTGTTATAATTAACACAGTAATATAATTTCTTGATAACATGATTTAATAAAATGGTATAATTTTAATAAAAATTATACCATTATAATTTTAATAAAATTATATTTTACCATATTAATTTTACCATATTAATTTTAATAAAAATTATATTTTTCGTACTTCTGTTGTTAATTTAACCCTTAGGTAATCTAGGAAATGAGATCTACAAAATCCCGCACATTTCACTTTATAATCTTTAAATTTTTATAGTAAAAGATTTTTTTTATTTTTAATTATTATTTAATAGATAAAGTCATAAAAGACTATAAACTTTGAGTAATTATAATAGAGTACAATTAAAAAAAAAAGAGAAATACATCTAATTGTATAAGATTTAATTAAATTAATTAAATTTATAAATAAATATATAAATCAACGCTTATTATAAGCGATTTTTGAAATATTTTAATGAAAAAGCTTTTGATGAAACGTTTCACAAATATTTCTAAATTATTTTAACGTTACATCTTAATATAATTTCCAAGTTATCTTTTGGAAAGCTTATGAAAGATGTTGTGCTGTGTTGTGCATAAATATATAAAATATCCACATTTACACAATAGCTACTGGATATTCACACTAGATATCCACACGTTATCTATATATCCATTCATAACTATTGAGGATATCCACTAGATATTCACACGTTATCCATGTACTCATCCACTCAATAACTACTGAGGATATCCATTAGACATTCACACGTTATTCATATATCTGTATCTATCCAATAGCTACTGAGGATATTCTCTAGATATCCACACGTTATTCATATATCCATTTCCACCCAGTAGTTACTGGGGCTTTGCCAACATTATATTTTGTTAAATATAATTTCTTCACTTAAAAAAATATTTGTTAGATTTTAGAAAACATGTGATAAATATAAAGTAATATTTTTTAAATTTGTAAAATAAGCTGTAAAATTATGAATTTCTAGATAAGAAGAAATGATTTCTTTAATTTAAAATATCTATGTATAAGAATAAATAATTTCTTTACACTCATAAAAAGAAAATTAATTTTTTAAATGTAAAAACTGTGTTTAAATAAATATTTGCTTGTTTTAAAAGTAAATGAAATACAGACAAATCATTTTATAAATCTAAATAAATTATTTTTCTAACACTAAAAGTCTTTTATGTGTCTCAAATTAAAGTTTCTTTTATTATCAAAAAGCAATTTATTTACAAAATAATTTATTTGTATTTTATTTACTTTTACAAGTAAATATTTTTTGAATATAATTTTTACATACTTTTTAAACATACTTTTTATATTTAAAAGGATCCTTCTCTTTTTTTAAATAAATTGTTTGTTTTCATACTTGGATATACTATATGTATATTCAAGCGTCCATATATATATATATATATATATATATATATATATATATATATATATATATATATATATATATATATCCAATATAAGCATCGTTCAATCAAAGTTACAGTGGCACAGTAAGTAAAATGAACAACTCAAGAAGCAGAGTTTTCAGGTTTAAATCCCAGCTGGTAAACAAATTTTTCGAAGTACAATTTAAATTGTATTAAGTAGCGGGTAAAACAATAAAATGAAAAATTTAAGAAAAATTCAGGAAAAAGAAAAATTTTTATATTTTTATAATATGATAAATATGGATATCTACTAGATATTCACTACCCAGCAAACATAGTTATATCAATGTTATATAACTGCAATAGAAATGATTATAACAGATAATATTGCATGAAAGTTATTGATATATTACTGTTATGTTATTATTTCCCACTCATAGATGTGACATATAATATATTATGTTATAATGGTTAATTATGGTTATATAGGAACATCAATTAATGTTATATAACTGTAAAATAACTAAGTAATGTTCCAGCAAATACATATATTTTTTGTTAAATTCCAACAATTTATTCATTAGTATGATTCAGATAAGTGATAATGTATGATTATTTTGTCAAAATTAAAAAAAAACTGGCATTTCATATTTCGTGTCATTTCACTTACTAGTGAAACTCGCGTGGTTTCAATCCTGTATCAGGCAGTCACTCATTTTTACATCATGTTCAATGCTTAACTTCAACGATTGTACGAAAACTGGTGAATACCGATGCGCTGTAACAATATCTTGATAGATGATATTTACAATATACTCTTACATCGTTCAAAAAATGTTATGACATTTGTTGGTAAATGTTTGACACGACATAACAACAATCACAATGCGATTAATATTGATACAATGTTGTATCAGTAATCAAATTTTAACCTACAACATGCTCGCAAAAGAGAGAATATTCCTTTTTTCTCTCTCACAATATTTTGATAGAGTAAAGTTATGATTAGACTCTTTTTGTAAGAATTCTAGTTTTATTGCAAGAATTGTGATAACGATCCTTGCATATATTAAAATATCACATTTTATATACAAGAAACACCTAAAATATAATTTTACATTTGTGTATAAAAATATTGCATAACTAAAATATAATACAAACATTAGACTTCTTATATAACATGTTATATAATACGTAAAGTTATGTTGCTGTAATATTGTTGGTATAACTTAACCAGTAAATAACATAATAACATAACAGTTTTATAACAGTCATATCGCAGTTATAAAGGAAATTAAGTAACCTCAATATTAATAATGTATAATAGCAGTTATATTACACGTTACTCCAATGTTATATCACAGTTATGTTCTGTGTTTGCTGGGTATCTTTGTAAATATTCACTACATATACTATGGATGTCTACTGGATATTAACTTTGATATCCTATGGATATTTATTAAATCTCGTTTTGCAGACATTTAGATATATTTTGTAAGTCTAATGGATATTCATTAGATATTTGTGGATACCCCTATTATCCATGGAGGATATTTCATAGATATCTAGTAAATATTATGTTCTGTATGGGACAATATATCAATCAGCAATACAGTTACATATTTCTTATGTGCTATTCCCATAAAATTGGATATGTATCAGATAAACATGCATTTATGTAACACATATACATACATACATACATATATGTATATATATATATATATATATATATATATATATATATATATATATATTACATATCAATGCAACTTTTTTGATCCCTTGTGGCTATATACCAGAAAATGTCAGTTATATGTGTGTTTGCTGGGTAGTCATAATTTATTTAAGACTGCTGAATATATTTTAAAATTAAATTGATATTTTATATACGTAAAAGTACATT